ATAGAAGGAAAGATTCCTTCTTCAAATGAACGCTTAAAAAGAGTCCAGAGGGGGAAAGCTATAATATTTTTTAATTGATATTAGTACTCACCGGGTAAATCATCAGATCCAATGGACCAGTTACTATGCAAGTCAGATAAGTGTTTATAAACAGTTTCAATAGTAAAGATAAAATTATTAGGTAAAACAAAAGACTTGATACCTAACGAGGAAGTATTAAGATTAAGTTGATTATAGGAGAAAACAGAAGAGAAGTACATAGAAAACAAATTGGCCGCTTCCTGCTCGTTAGTAGATATAGTTTATATAAATAGAAATAGCGAAACCTCCTTAGGAACCGCATTAAAAGACCTTTTGTTTTTAACGAACTTCCAGTACTCAGCAGGGTTACTATTTAAAGACAATTCTATACGTTCAACATATCTATGTAAACATTTTTTAGATTCGTATTTAAATCGAGCTCGAAGCAATGAAAATTCCCTATAGTCGTGAGCATTGGAGGATGTCTTGAATTTAATATGTGCCTTATTTCTTAAAAACAAGATATTTTTTAGACTCTTATCAAACCTAGTCAGGAATTTTGAATCAGTAAATGTACACTTAGGAACAAAGTCAAGAACCGATTTGTATAAGGCATCATTAAAAGCATTAAACGCAGCGTCTACATTGTATAATTGGAAAGTTGAGTACCAGCCAAAAGATGATAAGAACAAACGTGCATCCTCGAAGATAGCTTTACGAAAGTTATAGAATGAGTGACTGCGATTACAATGAGGAGAAGACAGATTTATTGGGAGATAAATATTTAATGCAGGATGATAAAGGTTAGCTGGAACAACAAGTTCATACGACTTTTAGACACATATTAGTTTATTACTAGAAAATACAAGGTCAAGTATAGAATTAAAATGATTAGCTATATTGTTTTCCTGAAAAAAACCTCATGTAGCGAATGCTTCAGGGATACAAGCACCCCGAAAGTGTGATAAGAAAGAATAAATTAGGTCATGATCGTCATTGTCCCAAGATATCTTCGACAAATTGTAGTCACCACATAAAATAATTGCGTGGACAGGGTAGCTCTTATTTATGTATTTGATAGAGTTAATATGTGACTCATAAAGGATAGGAGAGGAGTTAGGGGGACAATAGACACCATCAAACACAAAACTAGATTGACCAACCGTAAAGCGAACAACACTTGTTCAACATTTAGATCAGGGACAGATATAAGAGAAGGAGGATAATCTTTATGAATGCCAACGAAGACGCCTCCACCTCGAAAAGTACACCAGTATTAGTACATGTGTCGCATCTAAAAATATTATAGTTATATAAACCAAGTTCATTATCATTAAAGTTATTATTTAACCAGGTTTCCGTTAATACAATAAATAAATGGTAAAAGTAGATATATTACAAATTAAATTCGATAGTTTGGTTAAGATTTTATCATGATGCAGCGAAGAAGCTAGGATTGGCTGATGTAACTGTTGAAACAACCGCCCTCGATTTTTGTAAGCGATGAACCAACAGGAGGGAAGCCGTGTACGAGTATTACGCGCAGGTCTGTTTCACCATTTTTGACTCTACTTTCAAGGTCCTCGTAGTATGAGCGCAAGAGCTTATCTATCCCTGGATATCCGAAAACCTTCAAGAAAAGGCTTTTCCAAACGTTTACCAGAATTATATGCAGAAAATATGTTGAAAGCAGTATATTTAGATTCACAAATCATTTTTAGTGGACGTATGAAATCCGCACGGGATCTACCAAGACGAATTAACTTAAATTTCTCAGGAACAGCATTCTCCAGCTAACCGAGAGATTTAGATATCGTAAGTTTGTCATATTCAATCTTTGTAGAGGTATCCGGTGAAGAAGACTCAGGAACATCATATAAGATTAAATTGGGGAGACACCTTTCATGCTCAACATTTTCTTGAAGTACTTGAGATATAATAGATTGGGAATTCTCAAAGGGTTTACTGCCCTCCAATCTAGCAACTTTACCCTTAAGTTCTTCAACTTCACCATAGAGGGTGGCATACGAGGTATTAAGTTCGGATACTTCTTTAGTCAATTTTTGGAATTCCGATTTTAGTTCACTAAATTTCATGCTCAAAGAGTCAGATAGTGCCTTATTGGTAGTGGAAATTTCCACCTTAAGAGCCTTAATTTCAGCCAATATATCGTCATTGGAAGTCGGGCCATTAAGGGAAGATAGTTTTTTTTTGGTAGAAGTACGAGTGATAGGCTTGTTGGAAATTTAACTAGTCAACAACTTTTCTATCGTTAAAGTCTCCAAAGAAAAGCTTAGCAGTGGTACACGGGTAGGCGTAAAGTATAAATTATAACAATATTTTTATCTCCGTTTAAGCGTTCAAAAGAAACAGCTGGTAAGACCACAGCTAGTATTGATAAAAAGGCTAATAATTATTGATAAAAAGTAATAATAACACGTACCAAATAACGATGTTCACTACAACTTGAGAAAAAGAAACAATGAAAAACTTTACCAAATTAGATAATTTTTATTCTTTTCATCTTAATACTTTTCCATTTACATTAGCAAAATTTCATATTTAATCTATTTGTGTAAATCGTCCACTTCTAGTTTGGTTCTAAAACATCTCTCTTTTCATTACCTTGAACTTATTTTAGACATTCTAAATTCTTAATGGTACCAAGGTGTTATTTCTGTCTCTTGGTGTAATTCTGTAAAGTAGTCGAAAACATTATCAATAACCGCCTTGATTTGTTTTTTTGAAAAAAATATTCCCTTTAACTTATAAGAGTTCAAAAAAGTCTTGGAACCATAGTGTGTTTATCTTCTCTCAAAACCTGTGTTTACAAACAATGGGTGATGAATTCTATTGTCTTGCTGTCTTTGTTGACATTAAAGGAGCTTTCAATTATGTTTACATTAATACTTTACTCTACCTCTAACCATCATATCTTATCCTTATGCTTTGATTAAAGTAACTTTTTTAATTACGTGCCTAAATCACTGTCAATTTTAGGCTTGCTATGCTCTTCCCTGTTCCCCATGGCCTGTTACATATACAAGTCGCACTCCTGATTACCTTTATCCAATTATCCTCTTCTTTTTCTTACAAATTCCTACATAGTGTATAATTCAAAGTGTTTCTTTGGCTTTCCATCTTTTATCCTCCGTTCTCTTCCTGCAACTTCCATTAATGATTATTAACTAACTTGACTGGTTGCTCTCTCTTTATTCCTGAACTTTATATTTGATACTCAGCTATACTCCACCCATCTTCTTCTTCTTTTACCATTGAATGCCTTGCTATCGTTAATGATCTCATTTTTATATACTTATCTTCAATTAATGAATTTCTTTTTTTTTTTTCTGACTCATTAACTTGCCTTTTTGACATATCTTCTAATCCATTTTCACTCATCTTTCTCTCTATATTATTATTATTGGACCACTTACCTGGAAGGCATATCTTCCTTCAGTTGATCTCAAAATAAATCTATTTTATTCCACTGGGTGCCAGATTACGTCGGCATAATAGGTAATGAAACTGCCGAACGCCTTACAACAACTACATCCCTCTTCTTTATACCTTCCAGTCATATCATTCCCACTTTTGATGTTTTCCACCTCTCTCGACAGACAGTTCTCCAAGCTTGGTAGAATAGCTTGGCTGCAATAAAATTGAAAACTGCATGTTGGTATCGCTCGATATCTTCTTATAATATTCATTTACCATGATTTCACAACCTTGACTTACCCAGAAATATCATTTCTCATTACTCAAGACATAGATTAGGCCATAATTTTCTTCTCTTTCATGCATTCCATCTTTTCTTAAATTCCGTTCCCTTCTGTACCTTTTACGATAGTGAAGCTCTATACGATTTTCCCCGCCTTTTATTTGGTTATCCTGTCCTAGTTAACAGCAGATATATACTATTTAGCCTATTAACCGCCCACAATAATAATCCTCCTTCCGGCTTTGTCACTTAATCTTTAATTAATTTTTTTTACATATTTATTTATTTTAATTTTTTCTTTCTTCTTCCATACTTTCTTTCATAAAATTTTAATTTAATATTTTTTTAGTTTTTACATTAAAAGCTCTATTAACAATAATTATTGATAATGTTTAATTTCTCTCTATTCTAGAGTTTACTAACATTTTTTGTTGTATCTGTTGTATTTTTATAACATTATATTGTTACTCTTATATTTTTTACTTTTTTTTTTTGTTTATAATTGATTATTATTTTAATAAAGTTAATAAATTTTAATAAGTTTCTAAGTCATGTATTTTTTTTTAAATAATACCTGTTCGGTCGTGACGAAACAGTTTGGTGGGTGAGCGCCGGTTTTTTATTCTCTTCAACAAGAGCGCGACCTGTCACAACTGGTTTACTTGTTGGGGTAGTGTGTGGCGGTGGTCGCGAAGGCGTCATTCGCGTACCGGCCTGCCTAGAGTACTCATGTGTAGTGTCACGGATTCGGTTGTTTTTTTGTACGGCTTGCTTTTGATGATTTTTATGGTTCAATTCACTGTGTTTTGATTGCGTCGGGCTCAATACAGTAATTGATACATCAATACATTATATACATATTTGTTTTTGTTTAAATATTAATTTGTTAATATATTTGTGTTGTGTTCTTGATATTATTCTAACTATAAGTGTACTAACCATAGATATAAGATAATTCATTGTAGTTATTATATTGGAATACATATTTAATTCGGTAAATAAATTACAGTCCATTAAAAACGTTATTTTTTAATTTCATTTAAAGGAACCTTTAGAGACGTGATTTCATTCGGCGATTGGTCGTCCGAGTATTTCGCGTCGCACAATACCTTTAATGTTATCAACAAATCATATTGTCCTAATATAGCGTATGGTATTATGATCTGTTTTGTTAACTATAGATTACACTAATATTTAAGGAATAAAACTTTTCTAGATTACCTACCATATGAATGAAAATTAAAAATCAATTTTTCAGGTTTATTCTGATGAAGTAAACAAGCTTTTTACTGTCATTGAGGTTAGTAAGAAAAATATTTTGATTAAAAAGAAAAAAATTATGTAATTTGTTTAATAAGTACAATAATAAAATTTTAGGAATTCTTTAACCCAGTAAGTGTAAACTAAATTATTGTTTTTATTTTTGTATATTTATTAAAATTTAAGTTTCCCCAGAAAAATTAATTTGCATTGTTCATGCAAAAACCGGTCTGATGTTAGGGATAAGCTTGGTGTGTCCCTGCACAAGAGTACATGCTATTAGGGGTCCTAAAAAAATTAGTTTATGGCCAAAAAAGATCTAAAATTGTTTCGTAGTACGGACTCGCAATTATTAAGTTGTTTAATTTAATTTGTTATAAATTTAAAAAAAATTTATAAATACCTTAAGTATTTTTCTCTATTAGATAACCGAAAGAGAGATTCAAAATAGCAGCTTATGTATGAAAAATTAACCAAAAATGAAATTAAACAAAAATTAATGTTTTTAAAGGCTACTGTAATACATTTATTAACAGTCGTTTAGCAATCTAATATTTTATTTTTTGATGAAATGTTATTAAAATGTGTAGATTTTATTAAAGACTTGGGTGTTATTTTTTTTGTAACAATTCTCATTTAAAAAACATATAATATTAATTAAGAATTTAGCTATGAACACAGTAGGATTTATTAAAAGACACTACAGGGATTTTAATAACTTAAATTCTTTAAAACATTATAGTGAACTTCAATTTGTTCGATATTATAGTATGATAAAGGTTTATAGAATATATCTCAATTAGAACTGGTTGAAATTATCTACAAAGGAAAATATACAAAATATATATATGACACCTACATTTAAGGGTGACTGTTTCTACCTAGAGTTAAATGATATGGTCTTCTATTTCCAACTACAAATCTTAGAAAATCTTACAATTCTTAGAATGACGAAGATATTTCGACCTAAAATTTATTTATGATCTGCTGATTGAAAATATTAATTCCTTACATTTATTAGGAAAAATGGTTCTAAAAATTATTTAAAGAATCAGTGTTATTTTCAATTAACCGTCACAATCAAAACTATTGATAACACGAGACAATTAATCTATTGTTAAGACTTCTTTTGATGAAGTTAAGTTAATTATGAGTTTATGATAAATGTATAGTTTAATTTTTTGCCTACAAAATTAAAAAATTTAAATTTAAAATGTTTCAAATATTATTAATTTTATCATCCTTTTTTTATTTTTGTTTTTTAATAGTTCTAGTAAGTATTATATCTGTTAATTTGATTGTAAATCTATTATACTATACTTTATCATCGGGTTTCTACAACCTGATGAAATAAATACTCAATTTAAAAAAAAAAAATGAACAGTTATTTTAAGAATGTCTTATTTTGTATAATTTTTTTTATAAAAATTAAAAAAAATATTCCTCGTAAAATGTTAGTGTGTTTAAGTATCTAGGATAATCATTTAAGGATAAGACACTAATTTTTCTATATTGATAATAAAATGTTTATCATAAACTAATCGATATTTTTTCATGATCACACAATCAAGTTTTTATTGGCGATTCTTGTTATCACATCTGTCATTTACAGCAAGAATAAATACAAATGATAATTTATTGTTCAATGAAACAGATAATTGTTGCCTCTGGTTTTATTACCAAATTAGTAATTAATTTATATTTAAAATCCAAATCTTTCAAAAAATTAAAAACGCAAACGGTCGGATAAGAATAATTATAAGAACAAAATGGTTTGAAATATTTATTCTATCATATCATCAAACTTGATATAGGAGTTCTAATTAAAAGAAACAAAAATTATCAACGACTAATTATAAAATGGAAAAAAATATTAAAATATTTAATAGTTTCTACTAAATTGATTTTATAATCCTTAATCGATCCCTCTGTATTTTTATGGCTATTTTTCAAAAGCCGGTATATCAATTTTATCAATATATTTCTAGAGCATAATATTTTTTAATTATAATTAGATTTTTTTTACATTTTTGAAATGTAAAAAAAACTTATCCTGCTGATAAAATAACAGAGTGAATCTAATTTTTTAAATAACAGTTGAAAACTGTTTTTATATTTTTTCTAACTGGAACCAGAACTACATACGACACAAAACCAGTGTTTAAAACCGAAACCGCAAACAAAGCGATTGTTTTCGGTACCAGTAAATCAGAAAAACTTTTTTTTGTAAGAATGAAGAGAAGACTCTTCTTAATACATTTTTATCAATAATCAATAAACACCATTTTTGTGACTCAACAGTTTTTGAAAAATACTGCAGATATCATAATTGTTTATGTTGACAATATATTTTTTTTTTTTTTTAGGAATTTCAGTTTTAATTTTTTTTAAATATCTTATTGGTAACCTTAGATTTAATATTTTTAATATTTTAATTAATTATTATTATATTTTGAATAATTACACACATAAAAAAATCATTTGTTCTTTTATTTTTATGTATACACATTTCAAATTTGCAACTCAAAAAGAATAAATATCTATGACAAAATTACAATTGATTTTAAACTCATATGAGACTATTGTTTTTTGAAAAAAATGTAAAAGTGATTAAAATGAAAAGGAATAAAGCTGTAGGATAAAATAAATTGCAAGTAGAAGTATGGATATTATTAAGTGGTTTTAGCATAAGGTGATTCAAGGATCTTTTCAATAAAATCTTATTAGAAGGGAAAATAACATAAAAATGGATAAATAGTATTGTGGTACCGATATTTTAAGGCGAGTGGACAGAAGTGTGGAAATTATAGAAGCATAAAGCTTATTAATCATAGTATGAAGATTTGAGAAAAAGTAATAGACAAACGAATAAGAGGAGAAATATCAGTAACAAAGAACGAGTTTGGTAATTTATCTGGAAAGTCAACGATTGAGTCAGTTTTTTGTGCGAGACAACTAATAGAAAAATATAGGGAAAAGGTAAAAAATCTGTGTATGGTATTTATAGATATGTAGAAAGCGTATGAAAGAGTCCAAAAAGGTACATTAATATAAGAGAGAATATGTATAATTGAACTTGTACCAGGGTATAAAGTTTTGGCGGAGTAACAGAAGATTTTAGGTTAAAATTAGAAGTGTACCAAGGTTCTACTTTAAGCATTAAATTATTTTCTATAGTGATGAATGAAATTATTAGAGAAATATAAGGAAAAGTACTGTGGCGCATTCTGTTCGCTGATGATATAGTGTTAATAGAAGTAAATTCATCAAAGATTAGAGGTTGAAGATGAGTTCTTGAAAGAAAGGAATTAAGAATAAGTTAAAGTAAGACAGAGTATATAGAGTATGAGTTTGACAAAGAAGATCACGAGGTAGATGAAATGAGTAGATCAGTGACAATAAGTGAGGACGTGATAGCAGAGAAAAAGAACGATGGAGTGACGAGGATTTATGACACAGAATGAAGTTCGGATGGCTGAATTGGAAAAAAACATCTAATGTGTTATGAGATAAGAGAATTTCAATGAGTCTGAGAGGTATGGTCTGTAAGAATGTAATGAGACCAGCTTTGATGTTTGATGTAGAACGTTGGATGGTTGACAAGAGAATGAGTGTAGCAGAGATGAGAATAATTAGATCGAGGTTAAGTGGAGTGACTAGAGAAGATAGGAAAAAAAACAAATATTACCATTAAAAAAATAAAGATAATATCCTTTTAATTTATAATGAATGAATTTAGAAAATTATTAATAATTGATTAATTAAAAAATGTGTAAAACTAAAAAAAGTCAAAAAAGATTTTCTTAACATAATTTTTACTTTAAGAAAAATCGAGTGGCTAATATTTAAAGAATCAACCTGTATGCAATAACTTAATAACTTTTTATAATTCATAAATAGGTAACCATGATTGTAGCCTCCCCTTTGTATGGCATTTTAAATTAAAGTAAAAAAGTATATCTGATTAAAAGATATATAAAACAATTGTTTAATTGCATATATTTTTCAAAAAGTTATAGTAATATAAAGTCAAAAAAAATATGAATGCGAACATTTTAACACAAGAGTAGCATGTTTTGTAATTACGGCAGTCATTTGTATATAGAAGATAAATAGGCGGGACAAATTTTTTTTCAACTGATAGTGTAAAACATAAGTTTTAACTTAACATATATAAAAACTCGGAGTATTTCCAGAACATTTTTTAACTTTTTATGCAAAAGTTCCCATTTTGAATTCTCCCTGTGGGCAGGTAAATATGGTTATTAAATTTATATAAAATGTAAGTCAAATAGCTCATGTATTTATATAAAAATAAAATTATTTTTATAATGAATGAATGAATTAATTTTTATAATATCAGCGTGGTGTTAGTTTCCAATACAAGACAATAAATGAGATAAAGCTAAAAATAGTTGCTATCATTATAAAATCGACGAATATAAATAAATACAATCAGAAATCTCATATAAAAATAATTATGTCATAGGTGAACGCCTATGATGTGATTATTATTTCAGAGATTATTTTGAACATTTGCAATTTAATTTACAAAAAACTGAAATTCAATTTATGCATATGCATATCATAAATAAATATTTTTTTTACATTAGGATGTGCCCTGGCACACCCAGCACACCCCGTCTGCCTATGCTTAAGTATATAAAATGTATATTTTATTATGTGTAGCTTTCTTAATAATTATTTTACATATAATTCTATTGTAAATTGGATCAAAAATAAGATCTAAATACCAAATTCATCATGACTTTATAATAACAACATTTTATAACAAATATTACCATCAGCTTATTTACTCATTGTTATTAGATTGAAATAAATAGTAACTTTATTAATAATTTTTAGTTTTGATGTGAAGCTGAGAAGGTATTAATTTTATTACCATGTGTTTATTATTATTAGTAGAAGTGTAATATATGAGCTGGGGCCCCCCCAAAACAACCCCGGCCGTTTACACCGCCGGAAACGGCCGGGTGGATAAGATGAAAGGTCGAAGTTGCTCGTTCCTAGATAGTGTTTCGGTACATATATAGATACCATGGTATATGTATAGTATACCTAGGTAGATTGAACATCATATAGTATACCTTGATATATTACAGAAAATTGCATAATTTTAGAAAGGTGTGAAAATATTTGAATGCCGAAATGTAAAAGGTGCAATCGAGCGGCAGCATATTAACCTAACAAAATAAATGTTGATGTGTTAATAACAACTTTGGGATAAATACTTATTGAGTTACAAGATTTAAAACATGAAGTAGTATGTAGCGCGGTTGGGAGTGTATTTATAATGCATTTATAAATAAACACTATTACAAGTTACATATATAACACATATAACCTCGTGAAATTCCCAAAAACCCATACAACCATGTATATTAGAAAAAAAAATAATTTTCGGGCACACTCAAAGGTTAAACTCTAGGTCCGCCTATAAACTTAAGGTTTAGTGTACATTGTACACTGTAAAAGCATAAAATATTTTTAATATATTTTGAACTATTTCAGTTAACCTACTAGTTTGGAGTGGAGTAAATGATAATATAATACATAAATCAAAATAATGTATTATGAATTTGTTTAAATAAATTTTTAATAGAAGAATCTACAAGACCCACTTATAGGAAGATTGACGACCTTCCCGTTATATATATTTATAAAAAAAATTACTTCTATGTATATTTTCATAACATTAATCTAAGGAAAGAAATTCATTCTGGGTGAGAATAAATGAAAAAGCAGACTATGTAATATTATTGAAAAATATACTTGTAAATTTTTTGGTCAACTATTTAGGGCCTCTTTATTTTAACTCTATACGACGACATTAAATAACAATAATTACTTTATTCAAAAATGTTTTTATTTAATAAATTTTTATTACAATTGGCTTAAAATGTTTATATATATATATATATATATCTTACAGCCCATTTATTTCTATCCACTTACGTTGAAATTAATAAANTATATATATATATATATATCTTACAGCCCATTTATTTCTATCCACTTACGTTGAAATTAATAAAATAAAGTATACATTCATTCTAATTAAAGCATTAATTGTTACTATATAATTGTAATTTATTATTCTTAATGTAATTTATTATATATTTTTAACTAAAGCTTTGCTTAAGAAAAAGAGATAATCATATAAATTATATTTTTCATGATAAATTTAATATTGTGTAAATAATGATGATTTCATAATAAATCTATAATATATTTTTAAATCGCTTTTGATTAATTAAATGACTGTTTATAAATTCACCTTTAAATTATGTATTTAATAAAAAAATGAATTTTATTTTAATCTATCGGAAAATAGTTTATGTAAATAGCATAATAATAAATCTTTAAGGACATGTTAAATTTTCTAAAAAAAAGAACTATAAAATCGCTATATTGTGTCAAAAACTGATACTTATTTTTAATTGTTTAATAAATTATTTCAGGTAGTTTAATAATGTTTTCAAACGTAACTTTTATATTAATTAATTTTTTTACATTAAGTGTTATTACTTCGAGTATTAAATGTGCTCACCAAACTACTCCAGTAAGTAGATTTTTTATTATTTTTTAATTGGAAATGTTATGATAAAGAGCTAAATTAGTATTTTCTATTAAGTAGCATAGTAACATTAAAGTGAATCAAAATACTAAGATTTTAAAATGTTTTTTTTTTAATGTTTTTAAGTTAGTATGACCATATTATGTGTTAAACTTTGATAACGTATTATACTTAAATTATATTATGCAATTTTTTTTTATAATTTTAACAATAAGAAAACTTAATTTCTCATAAATTATTGCACACGTTTATCTGACTAGATACGATTTGCGATCTTTTGACCTATCATTGAAAGATATCGGTTCCGTGAGAGCTGAGAAAAAGTGGTAACAGATACAAAAAATAAAAAAACACATCAGAGTAAAATTTATTTTCAAAAAAGTTTTCTTCAAAAGTTATTTTGGCATTGTTAAAGTTATAGACCGTCATCTGTTACTAAGATCTATTTTAAACATTTTTATTAATTCACTGGTTGAACGATAAGCTTATCAAATGGTTAAACAAAATAATAAATAGAACACATAGATCCTTCATTATTTGTGCACTAAATATGATAGTGTTGTCTTTGTAGTAATACAAAAATAAACGTATATGTTGTGTGCGTTGGGTATTGAGGTATTTTGACCAAGTTTGGATATTTGGGGATTTGGTCAATTCGTGAACTTAACATGATAATTATTTTTAAGATAAAATTCATAGTATATAATAATCAATTTAACATGTATATACATATATAATAGCTGGTGTACAACAGTGTATATGTTATAACAGATAAATTAATTATTTGTTTGCATATAATCAGTATTAAATATAGATTAATTATTTTTTATTGATAAATGTAAGATGCGTAATGCAAAACATTGGGCATATTACGACATCCGCCCTAATTATTTTAAGTTTTGTACCCTCACAACTATCGTATAATATAAATAAGTATTTGGAAATAAAAATATTATAATATAATCAATAAAAAACCCAGCACAGGGGATCGCGGCACAGTGGTGACGTGGCATAGTTGGATCAAGTATAATGATATCTAACAGTGATTAAAATCACTATAAAAAAAACGGTAGCACAGTGGGGTCGAGGCACAGTGTGGATGAGGCATAGATGGGACAAGTATAGATGATATCTGACAGTGATTAAAATCACTATCATAAGAAACGCTTCGATGCAAATCTGTAGATAGTGTTTCCTTTAGAGAAATTGGTGAAATATTTTAAAAGCAACATGAACTCTTATTTCTTTAATTATATCCTGATTAGTAGTTCTTTGATTTTAAAATATAATATATGAATAAATACTAATTATAGTTTTTAAATTTAGTATGAAATTGTGAGGCCAGCTATGATGTATGGTTAATAGTGTTGGGCGGTTGATAAGAAAGTAGAGCAGAGAATAAGTGTAGCAGAGATGAGAATGCTTAGTTGGATGAGTGGAGTGACTAGAGAAGATAGGATAAGGAACGAGCATATAAGAGGAAGTATAGGTGTTGCGTCAATCGTGGATAAGATGACAGAAAATAGACTTAGATTGTTTAGTCATGGTATGAGGAAAGAAGAATCGAAAGCTGTAAGAACAGTTATAGAAATGAATGTTGAAGGAAGAAGAGATAGAGGAAGACCAAAAAAGAGATGGAGGGATGCTATTGAATGCGATTTGAGGACAGCTGATGTGAGCGTAGAAGATGTGGGAGATCGTGTCAAGTGGAATCTTAGGATAAGGGTGCCCGACCCCAAGTAGTTGGGATTAAGGCAAAGAAAAAGAAAAATATTACCAGATATTCCGGTGGCAATTGACATAATATGATTGTTATTTCGGAATGTACAATTTAGCGTTTAGTTGGGTTTAAATAATATAGCGTCAAATCAATTACCTACTCTATCGGTTGTATCTCAATATACACTACACTTTAATGATACAATAAATAAATAAACTCACACATACACACATATGCATTTATAACATTGTGTCTAATGTAAGTATAACATGATAAAAAGTAACCGTAAAATGAAAAAAATGGAATATAAATTTTATTACTCATATTAAATGTAATGTAACTCGAAAAATATTTGTTTAAATGAAAAAATATAAGATTATATTTTTATTTATAATTGTCTTTTAAACAACTTTTGTGCGAAACTTTTTTTTGTAAGTTAAATATTTTTTTTTGAGAAAATTAAGAAAGCTCATATTTTTGAACTTTTGCGAGGATTTAAAAAAAAAGCTCAATTCCAATCTTGAGGACTATTAGTATGTCATTATACATATTTTAATTCAACTTTTAAAAAAACAAAATTTTTTCCGCAATTTTTCCTTTGTTGACTGGCCTAGATGTCAATTTTAAACTTGTAATTGAGCTAAAAGTTATGGTAATATATTCAATTTATTTTACTATAAACTTTCATAAATCTTTATCAAAAATTTTTCATCAACTTTAAAGAACCAAAAAAATAGGTTAAAATTGAAAATTTGGACTGATTATTTTTAACATATTAAAAATCAAATCAGTAATAATTTGAAAACAAATTTTTTTTTCTTTTAATTATTATTTTATATATATAATTAGTAATAATATAAAAAATTAGAAGTGATAGAAATAGTCTACTTGCAGATTTGAAAACAACGCGAAAAGTTGATTTAGAAAAGTATATTTTTGCTTCTGATGAAAGTTCCTTGTAGTCCAGTGCATTTTTTTATAGTAACAAACAGTTTTTATTGAAAATTATTGTATCAAGCCCTTTAAATTTTTATACACGTAAAAGTAAAGCAAAATATAACTTCTTTATTATTTTTATAATTTCTCCGTTTAAATTACAATATTAAATATCAATTTCATACTAAATTTAATAATTATAATTAGTATATATTCAAATATTATATTTTAAAATCAAAGAACTACTAATCATGATATAATTAAAGAAATAAGAGTTGATGTTGCTTTTGGAATAATCCACCAATTGCCTAATTAAAACAAAAAAAAAAAAAGTTTGTTGGGAATTTTTTCTGCTATTCTGCAAAATTACTCCTTCGTTGACTAGAATGAATCATTAAATAGAAAATTTTATGAGAATTAAAACAATGTTATTTTTAAGATTAATATGCAGTCAGAAAGTTTTATAATTATTATTTATTGTAAATTTATCAGAAAAACTCATTATTTTTTGCATTTTTATCGTAATAGAACACTTAAATAGAAATCATAGTAATCATTTCTAAGTAATTTTTGATATTTAAAAAGATTCTACTATTGAAATATCCAGAACTGAATTAATTTTAATGATTTACTTTAACTAAAAAAAAAAAAGTTAATATTTTGAATCCCTCTTGTGGGCAGGTAAAGGGTTAGATTTATAAAAAAAACCAAATGATAGATAAAGACATGCATCTAAATAAAAAAAAATATACTGATTTGGTCATTTTTGATAAAGTTATAACAATTAACAAAGTTATAAGTTTTATACACTGGACTACAAGGAACTTCCATCAGAAACAAAAATATACTATTCTAAATCAACTTTTCGCGATGTTTTAAAATGTGCAATTAGACTTTTTCTATAACTTCTAAGTTTTAATATTATTAAAAAATAGTTTTTACATATAAAAAAAAATAATTAAGAACAAAAAAAATTGTTTTAAATTAATACTGATTTGATATAATATTTAATATTAATTTGATTATTAATAAGTTAAAAATAAGGAAAATGACATATTTAACCAATTTTGTTAATCGTTTAAAGTTGATTGTTGTAAATGTTTATAATAAAAAAAAAAAATTTATTTTACCATAACTTTTAGCTCAATTGGTAAGTTTGACATTGACATAATTAAATAGAAAATTTTATGACAATTAAAAAAATTGTATCGTTAAGATCAATATGCAGTCAGAAAGTTTTATAATTACTATTTATTGTAAATTTATCAGAAAAGCTCAATATTTTTTTGCATTTTTATGGTAATAGATAACTTAAATAGAAGTAATAGTAATAATTTCCTAGGAACTTTTGTTGTTTGTTGAAAAGATTCTATAATTGAAATATTGAGAACTTAATTAATTTTAATGATTTACTTTAACTAAATGTACCAATCAAAACAAAGTTGTTAAAAAGATTTACTCAATTGAGTTTATTATAAAATTTGATTATATTTGTAAAAATCAATTGTTAATTCAGGAGAAAAAACAATCATTTTTTTTAGAAATGATTTATATAGCAACACGTTAGAAAAAAATTTGAATATTATAGTCTAATAGTAGCACACACAAACAGAGTAATAAAATTATTAAATTACAAAGTAAAATGATTTAATTTTGTAGTTGAAACCTATCATATCAAACTTCATTCGTTAATAAATATTTTGAAAACATTAGAAATTAATGATTTTAATTGTCTTTATGGAGACGATGTAATAACTAACTGTTTAATTGATAAATTAGAATTTTTTTTTCAATTTTTGAGAGTAATATCTTCAACTAGATACGAATTGTAGTAATTTGACGTATTGTTGAAAAAAGTAGGTCAAGTTAGAGCAGAGAAAATAAATGATAGTCACAAAAAAATATCTTCTCGGCTTTGCATCGAAGCGAAAACTTAAAATATAGTAAAATAATTTTAATACGAATAAGAAATTTCTTCTTGCAAGGGGCGACTAAAGTGATGGGATCCTTGATCTTTATTGAAGTTATTGAATCTAAATGTGATAAAAATCAAACGAGTTAAAATTTATACTAACTTAAAAAGAATTAAGAAAAAATGCAAAAAATTCATTGCCATATGCGGGTTGGAACCTCGTACCCCAAGCGTGTAAAACATAAATTTTACCAACTCGGCAACCGTACGTTGCTTCCGGCGGTTGAAAAATTGGCTATTTAAGCTAGTTCAAATTTCAAAGTTATTTTTCTCGACTTAAAAGAAACAAACATATTTAAATAAGTTTAACTATCTATACTATATCAATTTTAATTTATATAATATTTATGAAAATCT